AGTTCCCTAAAAGCACTGCACTGAGGAAAAAGCAAATGATGAAACAATGGAGAAAAAGACACTCCTTGTTTTCTCTATTCATCTCCCTCCCTGCTTCTACTCTACTTTAATAGCAGGTGAACTAGATCCAGAAGACCAAAGCATCATCTCAGCATGCAAAAGTATTCCCTTTTAAAGAGCTGTGGGGAAGTGTTATGGAGAAATCAACACTGTGAGAGGTTCACTGTGAACAGTTTAGCTCTCTCTGGGGAAGGGTTCCCTATGCTCCTGAAAAACGGTGTAACTACTACACATGGAATCTGTTGGGAGCATGGAGTCAGCTGAACGCTAGAGATCATTTGTTTGAAAGCAAAAAGGATAATCACAATTCTTAGGAGAGTTATCATTTAAAATGGGCCTTAAAAGTTTTTTCCACCGTGCAATTCTTCACAGCAGGGTAATTCAAGTTCCCACCACTACAAGGGACCTAAAAGGTAAGGTTTATTAAACAGTCGATGGTAATCACCTACAAAAAGAACTGTTCATATAAATGTAAAAAATTACTCCCAGATCCATTTCTTCTGGCCTGTCCTTTCCAGCACTCAGATGCATGCTCTTTCCGGTAAAAGACTGGTCCCAAGCCTAGTATCCACTTTACTGCAACTTCTGATTCCACAGACCAGGACAGAAGGTGATAATGAAGCACAAAAAGGGATTTCCAGTGTACAGGGAACAGCATCCCCTCAGACAGAGTATACAGCTTTCAAGTACAAGCTCATATAGTAGAACATACAAGAGCTTGGTAGGCAGAAAGTATACTACCTAAATCAGAGAATGCTGTTATTCACTATTTCATTACTTCAGGGAGAGGGTACCAGTTACGAAGGCTGATGCAGAAAAAATCAGCTGTCAGCAGAGTGAATATCAGAATTTTCCTTTCCACACATTTACCTGAAAATGAGAAATATGCTGAATGGGAAAATAATCCATTTTTTTAAGGTCAAGGCACTAGCTTAACTTTTTTAAAAAAGTCCAAATAAAACTGTGTGTTTCACACTACATCTGTCCTCACCTAATGACTTGTATTTTAATTTATAGCCATTTAAACTTGTTTCCTCACAATAAGTATGTGGAGACACATCCTATGCTAACTCATTTGTCACTCATTTTCTTATGGCATGGGGTGTTACTTTAATTTTCTGCTTGGTTTCCCCATAATGAACTAGTCCATGGAACTCCCTTAAAACAATATTGTATTAGCAAATTTAGTCAGTCAAACACAAGGCAGGAATATCCAGAGCTTCCTAAATTAACGCAAATGGTTTTGGAAGCGCTAACAAACTTGTCATTTAGCACTGAACATCAATCTCTGCTCACAGCTGGAGTAAAATCTTGGTGGCAGGAAAAAGGACTGCCGGAGCACTGCGGTACTCCTCACATCTTCCGTTAAAGCATTCCGTATTGATTTTTACCAGAGACAGAACTGCAAGACTAAGCAAGTCACAAGCCTGAGCTAATGTGGCAGTTCCTGTTTTGCCTGTAAATTGGACTGAACGGCGACACCATCACATGAAGACAGCAGGTTGCCAAATTTTCTGAAGAGTAAGAAAATATATGTTCGGTTTTGCAGACAAGTTCATTGTAACGCTGTAACCTCGTATCAGCTTTTCAGAGGTAACTCTGGATTCCCAGAAAGCTTAAGATCGTGATGAACTTCAGTTTCTTGCTACGTAACGTTATGGAAAGCAAAATCGACCTGATTGCACGCAATCTGAAGTGCTGATCTTAGTGATACTCTCCTTTTCCAAGTACAGGCTATAGCTTCTTCCGACTTTTTTTCACAGACTGTCAAACTATACACTTACTCGCTGGTGCAAATAACACACACTGGAAAGAAAAAACAAGAGAGAGGAAGAGACCCAGCTTGGAAACAGACCCATCAATTTTCTTTTCAAATGTAGCTGAACAGGAGAGTTGAGAGGGAACAGATTAATCATTAAAAGTGCTAAACTAGGACTTCAGTATAAAGTTATCATGTCCAGATGTTGGTTTTGCCTTTGACAGTTGTTTGAGGTTTCACTCATGTAAATACAGATATGCACCTAGTCTTAAGTCACCTACACGCCTGTAATAGCTTTAAGAAATGGACCTTTACACATTCTGCACTCCAGTTCACCTGTAAAATGAGGAAGATGGTGATGGGGTAATAAAAAAAAAAGTTTGTTTAAACATTGAGTACATAATTTACTAATAGTACATAATTAGTATTAACAGATGCATTGAACAGCAACAAGCTGAAGTGGTTCTCACACTTATAAATTGTAGTATTGCCCCGGATGATTTTAAATCCATATAAATTTGTGTATATTAGACGTGTATGACTGATACCTCTTAATGTATACTGCATCTTCTCAAAAGTTCTTTGCTGTTGGAATCTTTTAAAAAATAAAAGTCACTTTAAAATGGACTTCTTCACTTGAAAGTATTATGCATATCTGATTACCATGCAGCCAAGTTGAAATACTCCCTCCATCTTCTGTTCCAAAACAGATGGCAAATAATGAGCAAGTTGGAATATTCTCTGCTTATAGTATTTAGCTTGCGGTTAAGGACTTTCCAACTTTCTGGGTTAGCACCATCTCACTCGAAAACCGCTGTAGATCAAGGAGGACTAGCACAGCTGACACAATTCGGTCTCAGACCGACCTTCCCATACTTAATAGCTTCTTGTGTCAGCAAGTGTCCTAAGCTGAAACACCTCAGATTGAATTTGGCTACCACCTAAGAGTACAGGGATGTGTTTAGCAGATGAGACTGGCAGGAACAGAGGAGCTTAATCTGGTCAGAGGTTCCAAAGGCAGTGGAAGCACTATGGCTGCTGATGGACTGTAAGGAAAAAGGGAAGGTTTTATCTTTTTTTCCCTGGTTCCTCACAGTTTCTCCTACTGCTCAAGTGGGAGAGGAGACAAAGTGGCAAGACTTTTCTTAACGTTTCTGCAAGCCTACCAAGATTGCACTATTCCAAAGTAAACAGCTATGCTGAATAAACCCCACAAGTCTTCAGCAACTAAATTCACTGTGCCTACTAATAAAAATTGTTATTCTGTGACATATGTCATTACCAATTAATTATCCCTCATTTTAACAAGTGACAGTAGGCTAGAGGCTTTCTTCTACATTCCATATTAAAAGACATCTGTAGTGGTGCAAAAGACAATTGACTTTAGGTTTTTCAGACTAAAATTACTCTACACAAAAAGCTTCTTCAAAATGATAAACAATGAAAGTCATACCCCCTTAAAGTTGTTTCGGTAACCTTGTTTATTTCTTTAAAAAAATAATTAACTGCTATGTCTCAAGTAAACTCTTTAAATCATGGTACTTCCTTACCTAGGTTAATATGAGTCCTGATAAATTTCAGTCTCCCTTAAACTTTCTTGTTAGAATAGTGGCTATGGGATGTTCAGTCCTCCTCTAGCCAGAGTGCTAACACGGCTTAGGTTAAACTCCAAACTCCTAATTTCAAAACTCTCCCCTTCAGATAGCAGATCGATGCAACTTCAGCATAACTAGTTTTGGAGAAACACGAATTGCAGAGACTTCAGAAGAATTTTTATTATCTTGTTTAAAACAACATATGGGAATAAAATAGAATCACAACTTTGGTTTACAAAGCATAGCTTTAATTACACAGATTGCTTCAATGAGTTTTCAAATATAGATTTTAAAAAGTCACCAGTGGTTTAATATATGCTTTCTGAAATAACATTATAATATTTATTTTTAAATACTTATTGCTAATATGTTAATATTTGTCAAATTTTACCAAGTGTTAACTAGTGAATATTTTTGTTTAAGTGTTATATAATAAGTAACTCCTCATTGAAATGCCATCTCTAGACATTCTCTAGTGCATATATCCTTTCGTAGGGATTCAAGCATTACTCTGATTTACAGGTTACGAAGAGCTTAAATACATCTGCTAGACTCAAACGGGAGTCATGCTTAAGTTACAGAGGAAAAAAAAAAGCAGCTAACCTACCGACGTGGCATAAATAACTAAGGGAGAACATAATGACTCGCTCATAAAAGCTAACAAATTTATATACTTAGAGCTTCGTTTTAGTCTTTTCTTGGTCCCAGGAAGAATGTGAAATACCAGAAAGTAAATGATTGCCTGGCCCACAGCATTCTGGTATAATCACAATAATCTGGGGAATTCAAATAGATTATGAAGAATTTCATGTGGAACAAATTACATTAAAGAAGATTCTTTAACGAAATGTCATTTTTGACTCATGGAGTTAAGTAATTCGGAGCGAAGCCTTCAGGGCCAGCCAGGCTCCAAGTGGATTTCTTTATATTGTTCCCCAATGCATACCTCAAGAGGCAGCAACGTAGTTTTACCATTATACAAACTGAATTTTGGCTTCTTTGCTGAAATTATCAGCAAAGGTACCAACTTGGAGGTGATTTCTTATCCTACACAAACCACTCAGCCATAGCTCCTTTTAAATAAGCCCAACAGCAGTCAGGACAGTGGTTTCTACTGACCCACGTGACAGTGAACAAGTAGTGAGGATCTGGTATTCCATTACTAACCTGCCAGTCACTTGCTTCTTTCACAGTGTCATTTTCAAACCAAACCTGCAATGTTTTAGCTTTCTACACCCCTGTAACCTGAAAAATCAACTATTCTACAGAGCAGGAATTTCTTTAACACCTTTGTGCAGACTCTAATGTGACATCAAATAACAGCATATATTTTGAAAATAGATTCAGATTGGCTTTTAATATATTTTTCACTTGTGTTTTAGTTTCTCCCAAAACAGAGTACCACTGATTTGCAATTGCCATAAGATAGCTGACTTCTATGTAATTCTTGTTACGTCACTTCAGAATACAGCATACTAGAAAAAAAAATACAGTTCATTGACAAAACAATTTAATTTTGAGAAGTTATTTTATCTGTAAGTTATGGGACAGAAAGAAGGCAACTTAGGTTAAATGTGTTACACAGAAAATCCAGTAATGGCCAGAATGCAGTCTTAGAGACCTGGAGGTTTAGAGGTAGGGAATTTGTAGAGCTTTACAAAGTAATTTCAGAAGAATCGGAAAGGAATCTGAAACGATGCAGCATAAAAATTGCAAGGATCTCACGATTAATTTTCATGGTGGAAAGGTTCAGGTCAAAACACGCTGCCTGTTCAAACTTTCTGAGAGAGAACACGCAAGATCTTAGTTCTTACAAATGCTGTCAAGATAAATCACGTCGCCCGTGTGACCCACACAAAACCATTGTCTGCTAAAGCTCCAAACACATCAGCATTTAATAGAGGTTTCCAAACGCCAAAATCAGTCTCTTCAGTCACTAAACGAAGATTCACTATCAGAACTGTCTTCTGCTTTCCCATCGTCTCCCCAGGCAGGCACAGGGGCATCTGGGGTCCTGCAGGCAACAAAAGTGTTCTGTGTTGTAAATCACAGTAATGCTAACTACAGTTTCAGCACAATTGCGTGCACTTTATTTCCACAACATTTAACACATTAACGGTTTATGGTTCACAAACTCACACCTTATTGGTGTTGCTTCACTTACAACTGAAAGACAAACACTAGAAGCTGTAACTCAGTGGACACCACAACTCTGTAGGCATCAGTTTGAACACACAGCTCTGAGGTATTGGAAATAACAAGAGATCACTAAGAAGTGGCAAGCACTTGTAGAAAGAGTTGAAAGCAGGCAATACTGATTAATTCAATTTTTTTTCAATCTTCAGAAGTTCTAGGACTGAAAGGAACACGCTGTACAACATTAAGCAGTGTAAATAGTACACGAAAAAAATAAGACAGGAAATGAACAATATTGTATCCAACAAAAACTGCAGGGATAATTTAGAGAAGCAAAAAAGAATTACTCAGAGTGGAATTTGGCTAGACCACTGGGTTAAATTTGACATGCAAGAGCAGCCACGGGATTTTTATTGACTATAAATGATCAGATCTCTTGTATTTACTTTTGAAGAGAGTATTTAAGATGGATCTTAATATTGTGTCAAAACATTTGCTCAGGGAATCTACTGGGAATGAAGGGGAGAGAAGCAAGGCATCTAAATACGAACACACACTACTGACTGAAGATGCTGGCTCTCCCTGGAGTCTCCCTCCTAAGTATGTAATGAGTTTGACAATACAAACAAGACTGCGTCTGGTAAATTCTGGCACCAAGGTAAAAAATATACACGCAATTATACTTGGGGAAAGGGAAGAACGACCTTCACAGAAACCAGCTTCCTGTATGACAGTTAACTGCTCTCTTTGATAAAACATTACATTCTAAACTAAGCCAGCAATTGTGTTATTTGTCCCATTGTTATTTATCTTGGGGCTACCCCTGTGTGTCATGTCACAGAATTTCTTTTCCAACTTTAGTTCTGTTTACTATAAATTCCCTGTTGGAAATCCCTAAGGTAAAGTGTTTCTTACATTTTGGGTGCAAAACCAAGAAGTTCATTAAAGAACCGTGAGAGCACCTTCTCCCTCCCCCCCTGCACACCTCTAAAACAAACTGAGAAGGCATTTGCTTTCTCATGCAAATACCACTTCACAATATTATTCCTTGTTGCCGTGGCAATGACAAAACAGAAGAGCTGTGCAAAGACATGTGATCTGGAGAGACCAGTGCAAAAACTATCCTCTAGTATGGAGAGGAAGATGGCAATGAATTCCTTTAGTTCAGGGGAGCAGGACAAACTCTCCTGGAATTGTAGACAGGCACGTGAGGAAGAGTAAGACACAAAAGTTAAAAATAGACAAATTGGGAGCTTGATAGAATAGGCAGTTTTCAAACTCTGTAAAAAGTTCAGAAAGGAGCAATAACAGAAACAGAACAGTCAAAGGAAGAGAGTATAAACAACTCTATATTATTTGAATTAGCATCTCTGCAGCCACAGAAAACCCACGTTCAGTTACTGGCAAGTAGCTGGGACAGTCTGCAGTAAGTGCCTGAGCATACAGCAATACATACATTTTCCTAATTTTCACTGGGACTGAGTGAGCAGGCCTAAGGAACCCGAAGGCCCAAGCAATGTGGTGTGAATGGCAAGATATATATTAAAAATAAAAGTCTATGGTATTGAGACAAGAAAGCAGGAAAATTAGAAGAAAGGTCATCCCTGACTCCTTAAAATATTGTGCATTATGCACCTTGCCAAATAATTAGCTTTCTTTAACCAGGTAGATTTGCTATGCAGTTTTCAAACCAGTAACATTTCAAACAAATTTTGCCTAAGCATTATTGTTGCTCAGAATCTCTGAAGATGGACTCTGAGACCAAAGCCCAGACACATTCCGTGAGCGCCAACCCACAGTAAAAACGTTTCAGTCTCGACCCAAAACAGACAATCCAAAAGCAGGTACTTTTTTAAAAAAGCTCTTGAAATTTTAACCTATTATCTTATTTTTATTGACTGTAAAAATCCATCCAAACACAAAGAAATCGTAGCATTTACAGAAAGGTATAGACCAGAGACGCAAAGTAAAAAATACAACACATTTAACACACATATAGTAAAACCATGCTTGATAACCCTGTCTCCTGTCTTGCACATGTTCTTACTTGTGTTTTCTTATTTCTCACTCTTATTCCCTTCAGCCCTATAAAATGCTAAAAAATCTTTCACAGAAGACTTCAAAACCTATTATAATGCTGAAAATTCAGATTAACAATACCATAAACAAGCTTTTCTAAGCACTCATTTTTCCTAGTTTTTCAAACACATGGTTGCACTCCTGCTCTACCGAAAGTTACAAATTACTTACTCGAGAAGATCTGGATTTAGCCCTTCAGAAATCATTTTGTTTCGTATTGCCATTACAGGAACACCCTGTGTAGGAGGAGGAACAGTCATATGAAACTACTGGACACAAACAGGTGATTTAAATTCCACAGGTTCTTTTAGGCTACACTTTCATATAAATTTATGCATGTCACTTGTTGAACAAGAGCATGGAATGATAATCTCAGTTGCCATCAGTAGGAACCTAGAAGTGAGAAATGACTGAGATCAAAGGCCCTTTTAATCCTTCTTATATTTATGGCAAAAGATCTAGAGAAAGTTGCAGGGAGAGAAACAGGAATGGACAGATATATTTGCAATCCATGCAGACAAAACCAGAAAGCTGGAGTTATGTGTATGGATAAGAATGTGAAGAAAGCACAAAGTAGCACAAAGACAGCAGAAAATAGTTGTTCTAGAAAGATGAAAAGACTTGGACATGCTGAAGGTACAGCCAAAGAGGGAGGAAAACCAGGGAAGTGCATCTGCTACAGCTCCGGAAGGATACCTTAAGGCAGTGCTATAAATTGGAAAAGTCTTTAAAAAGCATGCAGAAAAAGGCAAACAGGACACGAGAACAGAAGCACAATTTAAAAGCGATTCCCCTGAATACAAGTGCTTGTACAGTCAGGCTTGAATCTTCCATGACTTGTGAACAGATTTTAGCCGACTATGTAGGTGTTAAAAAAATTCCTTCCTTTCACTGCAAGTCCTTCCACAGCTTCTGCACTTTATTTTACTCAGCAACACCTAAACATCCCCTCGTCTTGGATCGCATACCCAGGAACACTGACCCACATCATCTTAGGAGATACATTCCAACAAACTGCTCATATGTTTCCACTAGAGTTGCTCAAATACAACTTGTTGCTTTGCCATTCCCTGTTGCAAACCATCAGAAATACCACCTGGACCACTGCATGCCAAGACAGGAAAAAAAAAAAAGGCAAAAAGAAAATAAAAAAAGAGGCTACAATTTCTGATTTCCAAGGGACAAAGCTACCAGTGGCCTAGGAAAGTCAGGAGAGGCCTCACAACCTAAACGAGTAGTAGTGTGGGATTCTTTTGGCACAGGACAAACATCTTTTGTCCAAAGTAAGTAAAATAGTGATAAAATAAAGGGCAGCCATGACTAATGTTCCAGAGAAGCATGTGGTACTAGTGACAGTTGCAGCAGCTAACCTGGCAAAGTGAGAGCTGAGCTAGCTGCCTTACTGTGTGTTCCTTGTGCAATTCCACAATCAAGACTTGTGCATGAAGATTCTGGAGCAGCACACAGACAGGTACACAGGTTCAGCAATCTATTAGGCACAGCAGCAAAAACGTGACTCAAAATAGTTGCAAGGTGTTAGCTTCTAATAAAGAATTTCTCAGTAATTCACAACTAATGTACGTTACAAATGGGAAAGCATTTGAGTATTTCATGACAGTTTAAAATATTCACTTACTCTAGCACAGATTTGGACACCAGGCACTATGTGTCTATACACTGTCTCGTACTATCCAATGTTTTTTCCCTCGCTTGACTGCTCTTGGGGTTCCTTTCCCCAGCTTAGAAGCCATTGATGAAGTGTTTATGCATCAATTCAAACCAAGTGGAAAAAAGATTGAGTCAGATCAGGCAAAGCAGAATTCATATTTGCTTTCAATGCAAGGAAGCTTGGCATATGAACTCCTAAGAATAGACTGGAAACAATTATGTTCTTACGTTCACACTTGGAGAAGTGTTTTATTCCAAAACCGTAAGCATCAAAATATATATGAAAAACCCCCTCCCAGTACCTTCATATATCACAGATTTACAAAACTATTCTTAAGTTTAATCAAAATACCCTTTAACAGTGCACTTTTTTCCTGAAGGAAAACAATTAAGGTTGTACCTATATCTGTTTACAATACAATTAGAGCATTACGATTACTTCATCTTTCATATTTTCACAAGTTTCAATCTGGAATATCGGAGCCTGATACTGCTGTGACCCTAAATCTTACTAAAATAAAACAGACAAGTATTTTAAATTTAAACAGCAACTACAACGAGCACACAGGTCCACTGAAATGGCACAGGTGTACTTTTCTAACATAGAAGCCAACACTAAATTTCCATCGCATTTGTCTCTGCCCAGTTAAGATTTTAAATAACCCAAATCACCACACATTCAGCACAGTGTACCCCTGCCCTACTCCCAGCCTGGCCCCGCAGCTCGGGAAGCATGCAGGTCCCGGAGAAGCCACAGTGCAAGTAGCAAGCTTGTTGCAAAATAGGTTTTGGGTTTCCACAGTCCAGAGAGAAGTCGCATACCATGAGTGCTGGCAATTCCTGAAGATCAGTGCACTCTCCATCTTTGGTTTTTATTTCAGTCCTTTAAAGCAAGGATCAGTCTCTGTCAGGCCAGGCAATATCCTGGCGTTTACGCAGTCATGTTTGGTGTTTAGAATCAAGCGAAATTATTTGTACTTTAAACATTAAGTTTATCTGAAATCGTAGACTGCTCCTCTTACACTGTCAACAGAAGTGTTCTGAGCATTTATTGCAGCAAATACGATACTGCTTTTGTAAGGTTTGCTTGAATACTATTGTTGTATATCTGAAAAAAATATTAATTTAGTATGCTCAACTGCACTCCGTGGAAATGAGTTTGTTACCGTGTCACAGAACAGCTCTCTGTAGTGTAAAAGAAATACCTCTTCACAGTGCTAATTCTTAAATACCACAAATATTGTATTCAATAAATACATGATCAGTTGAAACAAATCTTCAGCTAGAAACTTAATTTGGGCAAATCAATGACACTAACTGAAACACTTGACTGGATGAGAAGACAAGTTTGGCAAATACAAAACCACACATTAATTTGTAGTACGTTAGTTTGACTTTCCTACCACACTGTTTAAAACTGGCAGAGGAGTCACCAGGAACTGCCAGTACAAAGGAGAAATGTGGAAAGTGAGATCTCACTCCTCTAGCAGTCACCGAAAAAAAAGTCACAAGTAATTAGACCATCCAGCACTTTCACATCCACTTTGAAGTCTGGCATTAAATCAACACACTAACGTAGCGTTCTACTCTCTGCTACTACCTCACTGCTAGATTTTCCAAACGGTTTGTAATAAGTTACCCATAAAGTGCCAATTTGAGATTCAAAGGAAAAATAAGACCTGGAACATCACCCATCAATTGTAATAATTGCTCTGAAGAGAGAGTGAAACCATGAAGTTAGATTTAACAAAAGCAACATTTTACTAATACTAAGACACAGTCATATTTTCCAGAATTATAATATATATTTTAGAGGAAAATTTCCACTGACAGTTAGAAAACAGAGAAGATTTTTTTCTTTGTTTCCAATCCCATTTTTAATTTTGTGGACATGAAAAAAGAGCTCTTAAAAAACGTCACCACGAGTCTCTCACTCACCTTTTCACTCCATTTGTTTCTACACATCTAAATATCAAGATTACATTCATTTATTTCCTATTTATCTGTAGAACAGCCCACAGGTAAAGAGCTAAACAAAACCTGCATCATGAGTAACAGGAAACTGAAGCAGAAACAAGCGGAAAAGTAATTCCAGTATCTCTATTTTGAACCTTACAGAAATATCAAATACTCCTGCTCTGGACTACAATAGCAAAGCTGTATTTTGTACCCTACAGCAAAACCAAACTGCAATCACGTCTGTGTGTAGGGAGTGACACCAATTCTGCCAGAATAACTACACTTTCAGCAGTATCTTCTGTGACTCCAGCTAACATCACTCCGCATTTACGCATCTTCACACCTTCAGTTCACAAGTACATGGGCAGAATTCCGTAGAAAGATCTTGCCTGAAGCTGCCTGAGGGATTACATCAACTCATTTATTAGAGAGGATGTGCTAGAAATATTGTGATGTTATCCTAGCTTAAAGATTACTGTTGCAATATATGTCTTCAGACATCTAAAGTTCACTTCCAGCTGTGTGTGATGTTCCACCTACAAATAATGGAGTACCCAAGAACGGTAAGAGAACTGACTTACCACTTGTACCATTTTGAGATATCTGGCATATCTTGGATCCTTGGCCACAGTTCTGACATTTTCTGTTACTACCTCTGTTTTCTGTAACCCGTCTTCATGTACATTGTTCTGCTGCACACAAAGAAGATAACACTTCAATGGTTAGCTATGCAGACCAGAAGCATGGAGAGATTTCAATCCATGAAATTTTTTACTTAAGGGTAAAGTGCAACTCTGCTTCGTCAAGATTATTCTGATCTACACTCATAGTATTAGAGATTTCCAGGACACATGAATACACAAACCCCAGCCCTTTCATTATTCACTGTTACATGTACGACTTTCTACTTTTAGACACAATTTTAAGTTATTGCACAATACATTACAACAAATGCCTATAACAGCTCTGTTAAGTTTGTTGTATTTAATGAATAAAACAGAACTAAATTTAACTGCTCACTTTCTAAAAAATAATTTTTAAAGGATTATATCTATATAACTCCTCTAGTCGTCCAATGCATTTTTCCTCAAATATTTGATTCCCTGATAAATGCTTCATACACTTCATATAACTTTTAAACTTACAGTTTTTAGTATAAACCATTAACCTAAAGGATAACATATTGAAATGAAAGAATCCTTGAGAGTGATTCATTTAAAAAAAAAATAAAAAAAGACTAGTACTATTTAAAGGACAACAGAAAACTGTGTATTTGCTATTAAACTAACCATTTGAAAGTGACATTGGAAACCTCCTTTCAGCAATCTCTCTCCCTACTTTAATATCTGAGAGGAGCAACATTTTAAAGAAAACGAAATAAGGGGGGGTCATTCTCTAAGGTGACTGAAACACGCCATGCTAACTGTACATTCTGTCTCTCTTGTTGCTGGCTGCAAATTAGTTCTCTTTAACAGCCAGGGAAAAGCAGCAGAGTAAGTCAGCTACTGCTGCTCCACAGCAACTTCCACCAAATAAGAGAATGAGCAGAGACTGAAATTGAAGATTCCAAGAAAAGAAACTATAATAGGAAACTGGGGAACAAACTACAAATGAGCCACAAAGCCTCACTTAGTGAAGTGGTGATCACAGGATTTAAGTCCGGGTTAAAAAACCAACCAACCACACACACACAAAAACCCAAGAAAAAATTAACTGCAGGGGCAGGATCTTAAAGTTGATCACTTATTATAAGCTGGCATTTTCTGTACATGGATGATAATATACAGAAAACATTCACTGTCACAACCTCTTTAAAATAAAATATGCTAGGAACTCCAATTTGAGCTGAAAGTTCACATTCTAAAGGAAGGTGAAAAGGGTTGGAATTACATGATTTGAACTGTTATTTTCACTCATGACCATCCCAGTCCCCTGATGTAACTCACATTCATATTTTAGTGAGACTGAAAAAGAGGAAAGAGGTATTTACCATTATTTTGTTTTAAGGGCATACCCTTTTTTGTTTTAAGTCATTCGTTAAAACTGCTTCATTAGCAAAAAAAGTAGCCTTAGATCTTTACAGTTGATTGCTCTCTTCCAATAGACTTGCCTCTTCCATCTATTTCAAATAAGACCAGAAACTTGACATAGAGAGGTATACTCCTTCGATACATTAGTTACGCTTCATTACTTACTCCAGACTGAGGTGATACAGCTGTCTGTTGATCCGTAGTAGCTTGGGCCACAGGACCATTTGTAACACTATTCATATTTGCACTGGACACTTCAAATTTGACATCTTCTAGGCCAGGAATAGAGGATAACTGAATGTACAAAACATCATCAAATAAGCAACGAGCATATCATAAACCCATGTGTACAATAAAATCTGCAGTAGGCCGCTTACCACATATTCTCAGGTAGGTTTCACATTAGTAAAATCATAACTTTTTAACACTTGTTTTGGTATTTTAATTGGGGGGGGGGGGAAGAGGAGATTTTTCTATTCATGTGGCTTCTACAAAAAAAACTCAAACCACGCCATTGGAGTTTTCACTGTTAACAATGGGTCAGAGTGCAGGAAAGCTTCAAGACCTCAGCATTTTGCTACTGCACTTACCAACTACACAAGAGACGTGCCATCTTCTCTGCTACTTCCTCTACAGTGAAAGGAATCATGACAAGAACAGCTCTTGGTTGGATAACTGGTTACAGACTTTGCAATTTCCTACATCTTTCACTCTTTTTTAAGGAAATGCTGAGCGTGGATATTAAAGGGGCTGCATATCTATTTGAAGGAAATTCTATTTAACATGATTATGAAGAATTCTGAAAAAATTATCAATAGTGATCATTCCCAAATATTTTTAAATAAATAAGAGTTAGTGAGCACTGTCTGTACTCCTACAGTATTTTTTTTTACAAAGATCTTCATGAACCATTTCAAAATGTCCTACTGCTCCCAGAAAAGCCAATCAAAACTGCTTCCATCGTTATTGAAAGAAGGGTTGGTTAAAACCTTACAGTGGGTGGTTTTTTGGTTCTGTGGTTTGTTTTTTTTTTCTTTTAGCAAATTAAATGATAATACATGGCTATAGATTATATCCTTTTTGTCATTTTAGCTAAAGAAGATACATCAGACACATTTGTGTCAGCTGAGATCCAATTCAGGGCACATTTCAATACCAAAAGGCTTACAAGGCATCTATCTAGTTACTTATACCAGTTAAAATCCTTACAGTCCAGTAACACAAAGATACTTTCTCTCTACAAAGGAGGCAAAAATTTCCTACTAGGCTTTGCGTGGCAAGCGCAATTTTGTCCTGCAACCCTGCAATAGAAGTTGCGTATTTTAATACAGAAAAACTCCTCTCCATTTTCTTAAAACGAAAGTCTGCAATAAAATCAAGTAATCTGCCATACAATTCAGTTGCCCTTTCAAGATCCAAGTGCCCCCTTCCTGTTCAATATGCTTAACAGAGACAAAACCAACACTCCCACTATGTGCTGTTGGTTCCTTTCTTCCGTATCAACTACATGTTCAAACGTCACACAATAGAAGTGGCAAGGCACGCAAGAGAGAATTTTCATTTTGTGTTAGCTCCTTCGAATCCTTATGAAAACTTATTCGCTCAATTCAGACTATGAAGAGGAAGTTACTTCACGTCATGTAGGAGGCTGTCACTGTTAGAAGACGAAGTCTGTACATGCACAAACCTTTGCATCCAAAATATTGAGTGTTGTTTCAATTTGTTGTATACGGAGAGAGAGCGCTGACAATTTCTAGAACAGAAAACAATTAGGATGTGAAAAGACTCCCCTAGGCCACTTGTACATATAACACAGTTCATATCTAGCTAAACAAAATCACTTTTGTCTTCTACCTGCCGAAGGCAGAGTGGAGTGTAAGTGAGATGATAACATTGTGAAATAAATGAAGTAATATCATCCCTTTTTAGTACAGTAGCTACAGTGGTTCAAATTTTAAATAATTTTACTAGGTAGTTAGTTTTCCCAAATAATGACTGACAGAAATGAAGATAGACTATGTACAAAAGAAAGCCAAAGTAAACAGGGCGTTACTTTGGGCAACTGGAGAATAATGCTAGACGTATTGTTCTCTCACAGTTACCAAAATATCCTTCTTAAAAGCTTTTTCCAAATGTGGAAGATGAAAAGATGTGACGTGTGTGTATGTAACTGAGCAAATACAAAGTAGAAAAACCTGATAAAGAATACAGCAGGTGATTGAAAGTCCTGTATAGTCAAAATGCACAGTGAAATCAGAACTAACCAGAAGCTTTATATGCTCCAGGTGCACCTCAATCAAATTTTGACACTTCTTTTTTTTTTTAAATACAACTCAAGTTTTTCTAAATTACTCTATAAGAACTGTCACTCCTTTAGCTAATCACTACCATACTCCACCAGACCTGTCCAAGGGAAGTTGGCTAGCATGGTGGCTGGCAGATATGTACCACTCTGACAGCTTTCTGGCACGTTGGCAAGATTCTGCCTGGCTCTGAAGCAGAACTTTAACACCCTAAGAAAATGGCAGTTCTGCCAACATGCTAGAAAAAGTAAAAAGAGACTGACAAGAGTTAGTCTTTTTGGATAGTGCACTGACTTGTTTACAGATGGTTCTTTGTTCATGAAGAAGAATTAGTTCCTGTTGAAAGAAACTATGTGTTCTACACGTAGCTGGAGAAAGGGGATGAAAGATGTACAAAAGACAGCTGTGTAACTTTACGGGTCAGTTTGACTAGACAAGAGCAAAGAAATTTAGAGTTAAGGATGGTGTCAGCCCTAATTTTTAATTTCTTGGCTTCTGTTGATTTAGACTGGGACCTTTCACATTAAAAACACCTCTGTACTTGATAAATACCAAAAACTTTTCGAGGAGTTTATAAAGCAACTATTTAGTCTCTTGGGTAACAACATGTTTCAGTTAACTAATAACGGTTTTGTTAACTAGACTGTTTCACAGAGCTGCTGTGGCCTCAAGGTGGCTTTAAAATATGTGTTCTGATTTCCAAAGTGCCTATGTAAGAGGTAATATTGAGATCATGTGACAACTGAATTTTGGACAAGTGACAACAGCATCACCAGGCAGTTACACTGCCCCACATATCTAGATTAAAAATCTAGAAAAAAATTATTTTTTTTCCTCTGAAGCTCCATAGGTTGATGTGGTAGCCAAATTTTTATACTTGTCATGGGTCTGGCTTCAAACTTTACTAAAAAATAACAGAATTTCTCAGATTACACAGCTTAGTCTAATTGGATTTGACCGCTGCCCTAGCCCTGCTGGCGAGGGCTAGATAGTAGTCTGTTAAATAAACCAGTGAACAGTTACCAAAAAACCACTAATGGCAAAAAGGTTAAGCTCAAAGCCACATTAGAAAGCACGCTTTCTACAAGGGAGGAAGCACTCTTGACCTGTTCAGCGGACAATTCTAGTCCTGACAGTCTGTCTGGTATATTTCCATTGACACTAAAGTCACCACAAAAACTTGTTAACAGCAAATATTCTTATTCTTCTCTTTTTTACAAAACACTGAAATTAACTGCTTCATGTTCCATACTAATCACTTGCCAAAAATGTGGGGGTTTTTTGTTTGTTTTTTTTTTTCTGCATCACAATTATTTACATTCAGAGCTTAGTGTATCAGTCTTTTAAATTAAAGTTTGTAAAACCTGAAAGCAAGTTTTGATGCAATATCCTAGGACACAGATGAGAGGGATATTGACTGCCAAAAGGGATTCAGCACCATAGGAATACAGCATCCTTCTTCCAAAACAAGACGATATCCACAGAGGGAGTTGCTCAGAACAAATTCCATGTACTAAAAAGTTCAAAGACTGTGCCAAATGCAAAAGGAAACAGGATTAAGTGTGGTATAATCAGCAGTTCATGTGGATATCTTGGGGAAAAAAAAAATCTGTCTTAAGCACTTACTCAAGAGAAACCTTGAACAGAAAGCAGACTAAATTTTGTTGTTTAAGCTACCAGTCTTCTTGCATCAAAAGTACTGAAGTGATTGGTTCTCATTTCTAGGATTTTTTTCATTGTATAATCGACAGCTAGGAAAATAATAAACATACCTCTTCACAAACAGTAGAAAAGCGGTTGAGAAACTGCACTGTGTGAACCACAAACTGGTTTAGAAATGCTACAGTTCTTTTCTGCTGAATGGCAGGAACCTGCGTTAAATTAACATAAGAAAATTAGATTATACACAGATGTCAATTCTTATATTTGGATTCAAAGACCTGTTAAAAATGCAAATTTTTTAGAAGAAATTATTTTACAAATCTGCCTTAAGTATGCTTGCACTGTTTATATGTTTACTTTACACATATACTTGGAGATATATATATATACAAACCATTTTTAATATATATATACATATACACGTATAAAAATCCTTTTTCACTAAAATTCTGCTAACATGATAGTTAGTTGCAGGATACACAGAAAAGGCAACAAGATGCACATAAATGAAGGGCTGTTACCTTACTTAAGAAAACACTTTTAGATGAAATTCTGAACGTTCCTGAAATCAGTGTTAAAATTTTTAAAATGCAGACAAAAACAGATAATCTTCCCTTCTGAAGCTTAAGAAGGAAAAGCAAACTTGGTCATTCATACAAATACTCCATTATAACCAACACCATAATCAAAAAAAACCCCAAACCCAACAGTAGTGAAATTGCCATCTCAGTCTTTAGCGGCTACCTACACTTTTTCTTATTTGCAAGCCCAGATTATGCTAAAATTACACTTCTGTATCACTCCTCCAAGTCAGATCCGATGCACACATCCTTTTCAGACTAAAAGGCAGAATGTTATGTTTGTCAAAAAAAAAGTCTGGTGCTCCCTGGCATAACGGACAGTTGGCATTTTTATTTACACCGTTATAAAGCCTGGAATCAGGAACATTCACACAAATGTTCATGTATAAAACTATAGTGCCTCAGGGTTAACTACCTTGGACAATTGTTTAGTTTTAAACTTCACACAGGAAATTAATCTATGGAATTGTAATTGGTTTAAGTGAAGGATTAACCAGACAAAATATTTGCAGCCAAGCTTCAGCTGCATGAACAACAGTTCGTGAATATAGTAACTCTCTGAACTTGACCTCTTCTTTGGTCTTCCATTTGTCAGCGTAGCCATTCACTATACTTTGCCAATCTTAAGATGTCCTGATTTTTTGTGAGACTTTTGTTTCTGCTAGGTCAAGTTTTCAGTCTGTGCACCTGTATGGCTGGGTTTGCTCAAGTTTTACTCTGCAGTTCCAAAACCATCAAACAGTGCTCACGACCTTATTGGGAATTTATGGGGTAGCACAGAGGATGAAAAGATCGTTGGGTTAACGGGAACTGTCCTATCTTTATGCTCTGTATTTGAGAAACAAAGCTAAAAAATGTTGTTTTTTTCACTAAAAGACATGAATAAGCAGCTTTGCAGGGAACTTGCCTCACAGTTCTAAGACTGAAATGGCTTAGCCTTGCCACACAGCACTGTCACAAAACTTGCAGCAAAAGCCTTTGGAACACGGTAATCCCGCGCTCCCGGAGACACGGCTTAAG